TCCCCTTTCCCCTATTTCTCTTTGGTTTTTTTCCCCAGTTCACTCTTTTTTTGTAATGAATAGAGCTGCTGGGGTCTCGGGAAGCAACAGAGCTAACCGTGGCTTAGAGTTTGCAGCTGGATGCAGGATGTGCCGAACAGGATCTGTAAACAGATACTCTTTTATTTTCCCCAAACTGAGCAGCATCTGTTCTGCTAAATTCACTCCTTTCGAATGTAGAAGGGCCTATTGGATGTAAAAATTGCCCTTAACATTAATAACAGCAGAGCAGCTGAGCCACTCATACCCTGCTTTACAATGTTTATCTCGGTGTTGGTATCGTCTTGTTTTATGGCTCAGCTCCTGTAACAGTGATGTTTCACCTTGACCATCTTAGGCTTGAACACCTCAAGTTTTTGAAGTATCATCTCCCAGCTGCTCTTAAATTTCCAGCTCCCTGCTGCTGTTAGGCTGTGGTCAGACATCCTTCTCCTGGAGCCAGCTCTCCTACCTGTCCAGAGTCATTCAGCGCTGCGCTCTGCCAAAAGCCACCGGAGCATCAGATCCCGTGGCTCCCAGCAACAGGTTCTTTTTTTGTGCCTCAAGAGGTTGTTGAATCACTGTATTCACCTAGTTCATCTTGCCTGATCTGGGTCATGCATTCACTCATGTAGCTTCAAGGGGCAGGAACCGCTTCTGCCTGCAAAGCTACAGGCAGCGAGGACACATGTTGCACCGGGATGACCAACAGGCAGCTGTGGTCGGCAAAGCAACCAGCTGGAGGTATCCGTGGGTGCGTTTTTATTGGGGATACGGGACAGGGGGTTGTGCAGGTGCTGTGGCGAATCTGTTTTTGTTTTGGGTTTTTTTTGCTGCAGGGCTATCGGGTCCTCCAAGCTAGGCTGAGCACTGAAGCAAAGAGGACAGAGGGGCCCAGAGGTGCCTAAAAAACATAGGCATAGAATCAGTTAGGTTGGAAAAGACCTTTAAAATCGAGTCCAACCATTAACCTAGCACTGCCAAGTCCACCACTAAACCATGTCCCTAAGCACCACGTCTACACGTCTTTTAAATACCCCCAGGGATGGTGACTCCACCACTTCCCTGGGCAGCCTGTTCCAGTGCTTGACAACCCTTTCCGTGACAAAGTTTTTCCTAATGTCTAATCTAAACCTCCCCTGGCGCAACTTGAGGCTGTTTCCTCATGTCCCTACCTGTCTCCATGCCCCTAATTTAGAGATTGCTTGCAGCCGGGGCAAAAGCTGGGAGCAACAGCATGCCTTGGCAATGGGCTCAGGGTACTCTTTACCTGGACTTTGCTTTCTTCACAGGCAGAGCCTGTGCTGGGTGGATGCACCTGGATGCCTGCATGACCCAGGTCAGCAGCTTTGATCCCTCCTGTAGCTACCAACTGCTGGTCTGATGCTGCACTCCACCAGAAAGCAGGAGGTAACAGCTCCCCAGGGTCCAAGCAGCAGCAGATGGAGGCAGTCCCACATCCTCAGCAGGGTTCTTCTCCCAGCAGCTCACCTGGGCAAAGATGGGCTTCTTCCCATGGCTGTGGGGAAGCAAAAACCTGTTCTGCAGCCCTTGAGCTTACAGCGAGAGGTGCGCTTAGCAGGCACTTTACTAATCGCTCCAGCACTACTAAGGCAGGGGCAGAAGATAATTTTAAAGCAATCAGGAAAAGGCATATAAATAGAAGCGAGAGAAATATTGAAGCTGGCAGAGCTTCTTTTCACGTCAGAAAGCACAACAGCAATGAAATCATGGCATGAGCCCTGGTGCTCCTGCCCTGAGCAGGTTCTTACTGCTTGAGCTGCACCTGAGCTCCCCACCACCTGGTACCCTTGTGCCACATCTTGGCCATGTCCCATTGCAGGCAGCCAGAGAGCTTTAGCCTACCAAAAAGTTAGAGCAGGAAAAATGCAACAGGCTAAAATTAATGCAGAAATGAGCAAGACTCACCTTTTTCTTCTCCTTTTATCTTCTCCTTCTTCAAAGTATTTTAAGCTGCTCACCACTGTTCGCCCATGAAAGGAGAAAGCAGCTTCCATTAATGACTTGTGTTCTTCATGCCTGCTTGCTTATTGACCCTTGCTGGTGCTCTCTTGCTTCAAAGCATTGGCCTCAAAACCTGTTTGCCTGACCGAGGCTGCGATGGGTTACTTAGTGGGGAGGACACAGCACAAGCAGCTGCTCCACAGCAGTGGCCTGAATCCTCCCTTGGCACCATTTCAATCTGGAGCAAAGAAATTTGGGGCTTTCCCAGTCCCAGGTTTCATTTCCACAGGTGTGGGATCGGCCACAGCCCTTGGTCTGGTTGGGGTTTTACAGGCAAATTGTGTTTTCTTGACTTTGTTCATGACCTGAATGGTTGCATAAGCCCTTGTTTGCTTAATCGACCTCATTCCCATCATGAAGGGAGGGGAAGGAGCTGCAACTTGTCAATACAAATCACCATGGGTTTTTTTTGTTGTTGTTGTTATTGGTTTGGTTTTTTTGTTGTTTTCCATCCAGGAGGCTTCAACCCACTCTGCTACTGAGTCCCATGTAAAAGATGCCAGGCTTGACCACTGAAAGCAACACTGTCTGCATTTAGCTGACCTCAAACTGGAGGATGAGTCAAGGCTGCACAAGACAGACACATTTCATGGGCTGCAGCGAAGCGCAGCTGCTCCCGGATTTCAAAGCTGCTCTCCCTTTTGCAATTAATTACACGACAGCTCTCTAAGAATGATGTACCTGTACTCAAATGGATGCTGTTTTCATGGAGGAAAAAACTCCAAACCCTAACATAATAACCCAAACTGTCAGAGCATTGCAAAAAAACGGGTCATAGCCAACTGGAAAAGTTCTTGGCATGGCTGAGTGACTACCAGGACCCTGCAAATGAGCAGCCTGGCCAGGAAAAGCCAATACACCTGACCCAAACTAAACTGTAGATGACAATTTCTCATATAGTAAAGTTTTTGGTGTTCAGAAATGCTTCCTCCTCCCTGCACACCCAGGGCAAGGCCCTCTGCTCAACTTCAGCCAGAAGTGTGAAATTCTAGGTAAGTGTGTGTGTGTGTGTGTGTGTGTGTAAAAACCACAGGAAAAAAGGCCAACTATATGTTTGATTTATTTCCTGGCAAGGATTGCAGAAGAGGTCAGCCAAGAAGACTGATGGCACCAGGACTGCACTTCGCCTAAATGTGAGTCATTCATTGCAAGCCAGCATTAATGACACCGAGCGCAGGCACCGGCCTGGCAAAGAACATGACCATGTCTGTCGTGTACAATCCTCTTTGTGAAGAGCTGCTGTCTGTACATCTGCGTTGTCACAGTGACATCACAGGCAGGGCTACGGGTAGGGAACTTGCTGTGTGTCTCTAGCCACATCAGGACCCTCTGAGTGCCCCAATTTGTTATTTGGATACCTGGTCTCCCCATTTTAATGCACCTAGCTCAAGAGGTGGCCACAAAGCTTCAAGCATCACCAGGGGAAGGATCTGCACAGCCCCTTTTCTCCCAGTAAGGTCTAATGTTTCCTTTGTGTCTCCCCCTTTTTTGCAGCTAAAGATGTCTGAAATCTTACCACACTTTGTGGCTTTGTTACTGTTCATGCCCGGTGTACTTCAAACACAAGACAGCCTGAAACCTTTTAGAATCGCTTTCAAGGGAAGCGTGGTTTTGCTCTTCCCTCCTGGCAGCCACGGCCCAGGCACCAGAGTGCACTGCAGGAAACGTTCTTGACTGAATTTACATCCAGGCAACCGCAGACCCCACGAGCCGCACTAAACCCCATGGAAAATTCACACACACCTGCTAACACATCCCTTCCCCAGCTCTCTGTTGGCGACTGACACATACCGCTGTATTTTAAACTCGGCCAAACGCACAGAGGGTGAAAAGCTGCAGCTCAGGCTGCCACCCCAGAGCCTTTCCTCAAACCATCACATCTCCTGGGCCATTCCAGGCTGCCCAGCAAGGCTTGTGGCTCGTGCAGTGGCAGGGGACCTGGCTGCAGAGCCACCGCCTGAGACCCTCTGACCCCATCCCACACCCCAGCAGTGCGCAGAGCGGCAGCAGACAGGACACAAGCCAGGAACATGCAGTGGAGGAACTCCCTGTCCCCGGCTGGAAGCAATGGCTCGGAGAGAAGTACAAACCAGCTATTCATTTGGCACCGTTTATATCAAACGGACAAATCAATACATCACACTTCAAAACAAACCCGAGCCTGTGCAGACAAGCCCGGAGAGTTTTGCAGAAGCCGAGCCAGTGCAGCATGAAATCACCCCAGAAAGAACACACAAATGGGAACTGAAAAATAACACCTCCCCCCAAAAATTGCTTTATTTCTTGATAAAGCTGCAAGTAAACTCAAAATGCATTGGACTTAAAAAAAACCCCAAACTTATCTGGTATTTCCTAGATTTGCCGGAGGGCCACGCTTTCAGATGCACAGAAGCAGCGAGCTTTTCTGGCCAGTACCCGAAAAAAACTGGGCTGTCAGAGCTGAAAGCGTCAGAGTGATTCATAATTATGTCAGTGGTACCAGAACAACAAATTTTACGGAAAATTTTAAGGATTCTGCACAGAAATTGCATCCCCTCTCAACGCATCTCTTTCCATCTCCTCTGCTTTTACAGTGTGAGAAGCTTAACATGCCCCATTTACCAGTGTCTTGGAGGATGAAAAACAAAACCAACCATTCAACAAATCAAGAAGCAAGAGCCTCCATCTCCCTTCTTTAAATCAAACCCTCCGTACAGGGCAGGAGCCTCAAATATGCTCAGGGTTTAGGTACCAACAAGCTGGGCTGTGGTTTTCACTCCCCAGCCCTTAAAACACAGGACACCAGCATTTACCTTCAATAATAAAAACTTTATTGCCAGGTGTTTCAGTTCTCTCCAGCAAGGACGGACATTTTCGGCGCTGCCTTTGCCGCTCGTGCGTCAGCAGACATCAGCGCGGTTCTGGCCCCTGACCCCGCGAGTCGCCGTCAGGGAGCAGCAATAGATCACAGTGGCAGAATCGCATTTACTGCGTGGCATGGCACCGCCGCCACGAGAGCTTTCCTCCCGGAGCCGCTCCTCCTCAGAGTTAATCACGTGTGTCCGAACACTCATTATTGGCGAAGTTTCCAGAAGGCTCCTGACAGAGTCATTTATTAAAGTAACACCCAAAATGTCAACTACAAAACATCTCTACAAGCCGCTACTCTGGATTTCAACCCTATTTTTGATTGACATACTGTGAAAAAGAAGCGGAGGAGGTCAGAGCTCCGGCCACTCCCTTCTGATTTTGTTAAGTCAAGCGGGCAGCACCAGGCACACTGCTTTTGAAAACCCTGAATCGCTGACTTCAAAGGACACCCACCTGCCCTGCGTGTCCTGGGCTGTCCCCACCTCACCAAAGGGCTGGGGAGAGGTGAGGAAGGTGCTGAGCTCTTCACTCAGGGTCACAGCTTGCTCTCACATCCCATCTCACTCCATTTACAAAAAGAAGCTTTAATTCTATCATTCCTGATAGGAATCCCAATGCCCGGAAAAGGCAACCATCGCACCCATCTCCAAGGAGGACCAGGAGGAGGATCTAAGGAGCTACAGGGCAGTCAGCCTCACCTCCGTGCTGGGAGAGGTAGGGACCAAACCCTCCCCAAAGCTCTTTCCTGCCAGGGGATGGAGAGTGGGAGAGCTGGGAACAGCCAGGAGGGATCTCCCATGGGCAGATTGTGTCTGGGCAACCCGACTGCCTTCTGTGATGAGATGACGGCAGTACGGATAAGGGAAGGACGTGGACGTTGTACACCATGACCTTACCGAGGCCGCTGATGGTGCTGTCACACAGCATCCTCGTGCCCAAATCAATGGGTTATGGGCTGGGAAAGCGGCAGATCTGGTGCTGGAAATACAGACCAACCAGCTGGAGCAGAGACCACGAGGATGGTTACAGCACTGGAGTAATGCAATATGCGAGGAGAAGCTTGGAGACTAGAAGCAGACTTTTCCCAGAGGTGCACAGCGACAGGCCAGGAGGCAACAGGCACAAGTTGAAACACAATCAGATGTTAGGAAAAACTTTTGCAACATATGGGCGATCAAATATTGGAACAGGGACCTATACGCTGTGGACTCTCCATCCAAATCCACTGAATATCTCCATCCTTAGAGATACTCAAGCATCGCCACCCTGATCTAACTGGACCGGCTTTGAGTGGGGCTGGACTAGAGACCTCAGAGGTCCCTTCTAACCTCAGTTACTCCATGGCTGTGTGTCCCTGCAGGGATTCAGTTTAAGTTTTAATCTCAATTCCTACCGCTAGCAAGGTAATGGCTTCCAATCCTCATGGTCTCCTACTGTAAAAGGATCAAACGGCATCGCTTGGGATGGACAGACAGCAGCCAAGCCCACCATAAATAAATACGCACAGAGAAAGAATTAATTCATGTTGCAGAATAACACACGCAATTTAAACGCTGAAACATTAAAAGCCCGCTGACAGCATCATAGAAATAATAGATGTTTTTCCCCACTAGGCTGTTCAATAGGGTCCCCAAATTCAGAGCTTTCAGTTCACCTACACTTCAGTCCTCTATTGCAATGCATCAGAGCCCGTCCCGGAGACGCGGCGGGCTTACGCAGGTAACAAGACACGAGAATCGTCCCCAACCTCTTCTGGGGCAACGGGCAGGTCTCAGAACTGCTCTCCCCAGAGGAGATGCCCTATTTGCTGCCATGGGTTCTGGCATAAGAAAGTCCTTCGCGGTTGGCAGGCTTTGGTTTTTAGCTTACGTCTGTCATCTTGAGCTTTCTCTCCAGGATGAGTCTTGTCCCCTCTCCTCTCCTCCCAGCAGCTGGTTGGGCTGAGGACCTCCTGGGGCATCAGTCCAGCTTTTTCACCATGTAAGGCCCTTCCAGCTCGTAGCCAATCTTCCTGTAGTAGTTCCTTGTGCCAACACCTGTGAGAAGAACGATAAAAAGGTTTAATTCAGTGTGATGACAAATGAGTTGGAGAAGCCAGGGCCAGGCAGGAAAGTCATTTCCACGGAGGGACAGTGCCGAAAGAAGCTCGGCCTCTCCGAACAGTTGGTGCTGGGCCTCCCCTGCTGCCATGCTGCAGCGGGGGTGTTGCATCTGGACTGATTACGGTGTTTTTAAGGGGGGAAGCGCAGGAACATAGCTGTTATATCTGCCCTGAATCATGCAGCCCATCCTTTGTCCTGAGAAAGGCTGCGAGGGAGAGAGGAATCAACACAGGAACAATGGTTAAACGTGAGTCGAGTTCAGAGTACCCCAGGTATAACAAAACCCAAAAGACAGGCTCTTGAGAGGAGGCGGCCCAGCTGCAGGCATCATTACCAGGAACTGAAGGGCTCTAAAACCAGACAAACTCTGTCCAATTGCTCCTAGAAATGAGCTCAGCTCCACTTCAGATAGACAAGTGGGCTCTGCAGCCGCAATCCAATTTCCTCATTGAAAAGGACGGCTCCGAACGCCTCAGTTCTCGAACAGCCTCTCCCCTCTCCTTCCTCTCTTAACGAGACCCCGCAGCATCCCTGCCCAGGGTGAGCGCAGCCCCACCGACCCAGGCTGCCTGACCAAGGCTGCCTTTCGCTCAGCATCCTGCAGCAGGACAAGTCCAGCACAGCAGCCTTCCCCCTCACCTTATCTAATTACTCACAGATGCAGACATTAGTCATCAGGGGAGGGAGGAGGAATTCAGCATCACAGCATCATTGTCAGCGCAGCTGGTGGGTAGGGACAGAAGGACAGATAGGACACGGCTCTCCATCAAGAAAAGCAGCCCCTCTTTCCTCTAATCTCATCCCTCCAGCCAGTTCCTGGAAACTGCAGCGCTTGCAAATGGCTCTCCAGGAATCAGCTGCATCTCCTATGCAGGGAGTGACCCAGTGCAGCTGGTAACCCCTTCCTGCCCACACATCGCTGCGGCGATTTTACTCATCACTGCTTTGACAGATTCGTTTAAAATAGCAGTAATTTATTTCCTGAATGCACATTACAATAGTGACTGAACGGCTTAAGCACCCCAGCTCCAGACAAACCCCCAGCCAACATCCTACATAACCATTATATTAATTTGAGGTACAGAAAAGACACCTGAAACGCAGACCAGAGATGTCCCCCTGCTCCTCATTCCAGCTGAAGCTGGGAAGAGCTTGAAAAACCACAAAGAACCCCAAACTGGGCAACACCCGAGCAAATTTACTTCCAAGCAGCAGCAAAGCAGCAGAGCACCATCCTCAATTAAAACCATCCTGAAGGGATCCAAATTCACTCAGCTTCAGTGTGAACCTGAAGCCAAGGAAAATACCAAGTCCACTGCACACACGTCCACTCCCCTCTTCCTGATCTCTGCCCGGGAGTGTCTTGATGTCCGACCTGGAGTAAACCATCACCTTTGTCATTATCTTGCCTAAAAAACATCCTCTGGGTTCATTAGTAGAGATGCTGGGATACGACATACAGATTTGGGCAGTAAAACAGCAGAGCCACCTCACCCGTGGCCCAGAACAACTTGGTTAAAAGGATTAGCGAAATCTAAAGCTGAAGAACAACCCTCTTGAAGGTAAAGGACAACTGAGGAATTCAGCTGATGGTATTAAAACCATCTTGATCAGAGTTATTTAACACTTCCCCCTTTTTTTTTTTTTTCTAAAGCCCTTGGGAAATGTGTGGATTTTAAAGGCGGCAGTTTAGGTTGCATCAGAGCATCGTGTGCTGCCTCCATTAATCTCAGAGCTATTAAGTAGCACTAGTTAAGCACCAACTCTTCCTCGTTTGAGGGCAATGGGTTCAAGCCATTAACAAGAATGATGATGCAGTTGGCCAGCCCTGTGCCCCAGGGGTCCCGCGCTGCACCGCTTTGTGAAGCATCTCCGTCATCATCTCAGCCCTGCTCGTAGCAGTTACTTCTTGCACAAAATTACTGTCCTTCAACAGGAAAGCCTTCCATGAAGAGGAGGCAGGAGAAGGCTCAAGCTGAGGGCTGCAGGTTGAAGATACGGCATGGTTTCCCTGCTGCCCAGCTCTAATTTGGGATGTCTCGCTAGCTCCAGCACCGCAGAATGTTTTCAAGACAAGAGGCTTTTGAGGGGAAAAGCTCTCACCGAGGCATCCCAAGAAGCAGCCATTGGGTTTGTGTCCGGACAGGTGAAAGCCAAGTGTCCAGAATTACATCCCCTGGAGCATCAGCCTGTAACACCGTGTTGCAGCGCAGCAGGATGGTGGCAGGCTGCCCTGGCACAGGGGCAATACCTACATCTGGAAGCAGGGGGAAAGCAGGCAGGCGTGGAGGTACAAGCCAACGGGACAAGGCCTTCTTGCAATCTCATCTGGTGTAGCAGGAGCAGATCAGCAGATGGAAGTAACTCTACACTCTCTGTGACTTCAGACTAGATTTTTGGTACCCTGGACTACATGTCCCCACTACACACTTGGTTCGAAGTTGGCCAAAAAGCCATTCTTTCAGACCCCTCTGCCCGCTTCAGAGGATGGACTGCGTTTGACCTGCATCTGGAGCAACTCTTGTGGTTTAAATTCCTCTGAAATGAACTGTGCTGAAATGCACAAAAACCTCCCTGCGAGCCAAACTGGTGCACAAGTGAGGATGAGGATGGGATTCACTTCAGCTGCTCTGAACCCAAAGGCTAACAAACCCAGTCTACAATATTCATTAGGATGCCATTAATATGAAGGTATCTCCTTGTAGTCAAAGTATATCAGGGAAATCACAACCAGCACGGAGGTCGGGGTTTTGAGATCAGCATGGCACAACTGGAAGAGAAATAGGGTGTTGAAACATGGAATTAAAAGCAGACTGACAGCCAGAAACCATCCACAGCCCTTCTCATCCATGAGAGAAGTACAACACCATAGGCACTGTTAAATGGAATAAAAGATCTGTGGGACACTAACAACTGCCTGTAAGTCATGCAGAAGGAATCCATCTTCACAGACCTCTCCATTGTGAAATTATCACAACTTTGTATGAATGCGAAGTCCAAAAACCCAAAGTTGCAGGATTATGCTGCTGGCTTCTATTCACAAGGAGACTATCAACACACAGTCCTAAGAAAATCAGAGCTACAGCTGTTAAAACAACGTGCCATTTCGTCTGCTCACAAGTCATTCTAGGGGTAAGTGCTGGAGAAAAAATCTGTAATGCCCAGCATACATTCGATACTTGTGCCATCGAGACCTTCCTTTCAGCTATGCTTGATGGACTAGTTCTCTTCCCAAATCTTTGCTGCTCTAATTCACACCAAGCATACCACAGAGCTGGTGGGACATGTTCAGGCAGCAATCTTCCCACTGCTCCAAATCACACCCGTGCTTTCCAGTGAAAAGAAACATCATCCAAGAAATATCACAAAAGAAATATCATGCAGGAGTGCAATAGTAAGGCCAAAAGCTGGCCCAAGAAGCCTTTTGGCTTTCCAAGCCAGAATTGGCTGCATTTCTCATTCTGGGTCTTTAAAACAGGGTTTTAAATTTTAAATATTCCCTATCAAACTGTGCAGGAGAGTTTAGGTTGAACTCAGCAGAGCAGATTTCAACCAACCCCTTCCAGATTCACCACCAGTGATTTGGTTGAAGGGCAGAGGCTCTGATCACGCCTGCCTGGATGGAAACCCATGGCCAGGGGCCAGCGGAGGCTTTTTGGAAGCGTCCCTCACCGCAATCTTCAAATGACACATCCTCTGGCAATGGCTGCTGGTTCATTTAATCGCCTTTTGTCCTCTTCTTTTGGAAGCATCTGAATAGTGGTGAAGCCTACTGATAAAACCCCAAACCTGGCTTTTCACTATAACATTTAATCCTCAAAATTAGTTAAATATATTAAGAAAGTCTGCCTGTAGCAGGGGACAGAGAAAAGTGACCACAGTATCAGGGTTAAACATTCTTCTGGCCCAGAAGGATGAGCAGTCGGCATGGGACTGCTACCCAGAGGACAGCAGAAGTCAGATTTCATTGCCCATGTGCAGCAACCCCTGCCCGTGACCTTTTCTGTGCAGAGCCCATAAATACACCCTTCTGACTCAGCCCTGAAATATTGCAATGCAGCATCCAAGGCTGAGTATCCTCAAAGATTCCTTCACCACGGCTCACTAGTCACAGAACTAAGTGAAAATGAGATTGTTTTCAGGATCATTAAAGAGCTACTAATAGTTCATAAAATTTCCATAGCAGAGACTTACCAAGGCACAAGAGAGACTTATCTCTACACAGGCCTCCACATCTTTTGGCAACGACTAAAATCTTTTCTGAAGATGCACAGTCGAGGCATATCATATCTCGCAGCTTCTTTCCCCCTAAAAATACTTCTTAGAAGCAGTTAGCAGGGCCCTGTGTGCAAGGCGGTGCACCTGATTTAGCTGAACTTTCCGAGTTGTCTCAATCCATTAATGCGCCAGCTGCAATTCTGGTGATAGTGAAGCCTCTTCCAGGTTTTTCTGGGGAGTAACTACCTGGCTCGCCACTTTGCCTGAAGAATGGAGAGCCCCAGGGTCACTGCATGGACACCCGCATCGCCTGTACGATCTCTGTCCTTCAAGGGCGCTGAGAAAAGGATTCATGGTTAGTCCAGGCAACGGGCCAGGAAAGGGCGATGCTACGTCCACCAAAGCGCTATGGATTTCACCCAGAATGAGCAGTGAGTCTCAAGCTGGCCGCAGGGATTTGGGATGGCCACAGCTGCTTCTCTTGGTATCAGAAAGGACATTCCCCCCATGACTGCCAGTGCTGCTGCTGGCACAGCGATGCTCTACAAGGGGAACACTCTACCACGGTTGGAATATCATTTCTGTGGTTTTGAAATGGGACAGAGAAGGAAGCAATAAACACTTCTGCAGTCACCTACAGTACTTCCATGGACATCGGTAAAACACAGCGATGGCACAGAGCTGGGCAGGAGGCTTGGAAGCCGCTGCTGCCGCCA